AATGCAAATCACTACCCAGATGCCGGGCATCCAACTCAGTGAGAGAATAACAAAAAGCACTGGGACTGCGTGAGCGGCCCTGCACTATTTGGTATGAAGGTCTTTTGAAGAGATTTGTATCTTGGCAGCATGACAGTTAAGGGAATACACAGACAAATAGCTTGGGATCCAGTGAGCAGACATGGTTTGAAAAAAACCCCTAAACTAATGATTTATGCAGCACATATTTCACATAGCTGTGATCTTGCTTTTAGGACAGAGGTTGAGCTTAGGGTTAAAGGCAGTAGGGAGGAATCCAGGAGCTCCCTAGCTGCCTCGCGCACCCAGCACGCCCCAGTCTCCCTCCCTATCTGCAAAATGGCACAGGAATCGTGCCGGTGCTTGTTGCCACAGGGACAACACACCGTGGCATAAGCAAAGAGATCCAACAGCAGTATCATTAGTGACATGATAACGTTATCAAAAAGCGTGGTAGATGCTTCACTGCACAAATGCAGTTTTAAATGATCTGTTGTTAGGATGAAATAGACCCAGCTGCAGTGGGGCTGCTACTTTTTCTTATCATGCACACAAGACTGAAGACATCAAAGGCTGCACCAATGTGCAGACAAAACTGGTGTGATGATGCTTTGCAGCCTTAACTTCTCCAAGTCAAAACCTGGTGCTATGTATTTACGCACAAGAACAGAAAAATCCCCTTAGTAAAGAAACAACTCAAAATAGACATCCCTATAGAACCAAGAACAACTAAGCCCAAAAGCTGGGAGAGCCAGTGAACAGCGAGGTAAAACGACAATGAAGGCCCGGTACCACGAAGCACCCGGCATCCCCTGAGTCGGAGTGTCCAGGGAAAGACTTCTAGGAGATTGTCCTCTGCTGCGGCATGGCTGGCGGCTCCCCAGGCAGCAGGAGCAATCACCCACGCCGTGCGCAGAGGAGGAGGATTTCCTGTCATGCTGCAGCCCAAGATGGCTGCAGCTCCATAAGCTGACACAAAGAGCTTCAGCTGAGTCTGCGTCGCCTTTCGCCTTCTTCATGTCGTCTTCCTTCTCAGAGGGAGGGCAAGTATTTCTCAGGGTGGCCCACAAACTGTGCCTTTGCCTAGGGGCTCTCTGAGACATTCATTTAAGGGAAGCTACTGGGGATTTGGTACACCCCTGCTTGGAGGATGACAGCCCGAGTCCACCCTGCCAAGACTCGGATCCGAAGTCCCCAGAAGCCATGGGACTTCACACCCCGTGCGAGGGTGCTGAGCCACCCGCTCTCCCTTATGCATATTCTGATTTCACATTTAAGTAACCAGGAATTCAGACTACAGGTTTCATCTGAAGCAATGCACGACACGTCTTTGGGTTCCAAGAAGAAAAACACTCCTCCTGACCATACTTCCACTATTTTGAAGACATTCTTATTTTACAGTGATCTAAAAACAGAAATGGACTTATGAAAATAGTGCAAATCCATTCATGTGCAGACCAATTGATTTATGTCTTAGTCTACTTGTATTTTTTAAACAGCTGGTTCATTTCAGCAAGCTGAAGGAGCAAAAATGATTTTGAATCATCTTTCACAAGAAAATTAATGACAAACCAGGCCCTTCTGACAGAGCTGTCATAATTCTAGAGACACCATAAAAAAAATAATCTGTGGGCATGGTCTGTTTGAAAAGCCATCTGTTTGCTTTGAAAAACTGGCTGTGAGCATAATCCACTTAAGAAAAATGTCAGCAAAATTGTGTCAACACCTTAACGAACTAAATACTGGATAGAAGCTGGAGTAAACTTCAAAAGTATGATTGCATTAAAACAACCTTCATAAATCAGTCATTCTGATCATCTCTGTGCACAGAACAATCTTCTTTGCCCTTACAAACAAAGCATTTCTTTTCTAGACAAATAGAGATCACGACAGTCCACTTCGGCATCTATCCATCTATCTCCCTTCTGCTATTGATATCACCAGCCTTCCTGAAAGTAAATACTTGTGAGAAAGGTTAAACCCAGCATTTGGCAGGACACTAAATTAAGCCAGAAGAGATTGATCGAGTGTTCTTCTTGGAAAAACTGACCAAGGGACCCATTTTTATTTAGAGTTAGGGAACATTAAATGTCAGGTTTCATACACTTAACTACAACTAACTGCGGAGCCTCAGCACAAATTAACATTACAGTAGAAATAATGCAGCTTGTCAAGCAAGTGTAACATTATAAGCCTTTACCTTGACAGGCTAATACTGCTTAGAAAACAGGGATAATCTGACATGGCTTTAAATATTGCTCTGTTTCAGTGACAACCCATGAAAGTCTTTAAGAAGCATAAGTAGTTCTAGATAGACACTGGCAACGGCCACAGATAGGACAAATTCTGTATGTTGTGGGGGTTTTTTTCCAAATCAAACTCGTAAGTTTTCATGAGTCAAGACAACAGCTCATTACAGCCAAGAACAACCCAGACACTGATTGGGGAAAGGAGAGCAGGATGGGTGTTAGGTAAGAGGCACCATTTTGTGTTTTCACTGCACAGTATTTTTTTTTTTTGTATGTGCAGGTGTATTTATTGTATATTTCTACATAAATATAAATACACAGGCATGGGTATGTACATTAATAAATAATGACTATTTCTATGCCTATGCTTTCTAGGAAACACCTTGCGACATGAAGGTCCCGACACACTCCTAGTTCTGGGGACCCACCAGCACTGGGGACTGCGGCTACCACACGGGCAGGACCCAAAGCCCCCGCATTGAGAGCTGCCTGCACCAGCATCGGGGGCTGCAGGAGGACCCCGAAGGCCACCGCTCGGCCTGCGCAGAGCTGAACTGCACCAACAGGCTGCCCCACACAAACGCCTTGCCGCACCACCGGCGAAGTGGAAAATCCCGTGTTGAGCGACAGGGCCTTCCCGGCCGCCTTTTCAGGAAGGCTGAAAGAGTGGCTGCGAAGGCCATTTTGTAATCTGCTGCTTGCTAAAGCAGACGGTTGCTTATCTCCTGGCAGACACATTCTCTGACAGCGCATTATGGGAGCTTTCCTCTCCGCTCCTCGAGGGCTGAGTAAACAAACAATAAATAACAGAGGTCTTCCCACACATGCCACATCACGCTTATGACATTACTGTTGTTTTTTAACTTTTTCTCAAAGAAACAAGCTCTTACATTATTATTTAATCACAAAGGAAAACCTCCACCCCAGAGGCCAACAATGATTGGCTGAAAAAGCCGGACACGGCCAAATAAAACAACGTCAAGCATTGCATCGCTCCGCATTTCAGGTGTAACACAGCGAGGTAACGGCACCCACAGTCAGTGCCGAGGGCCTCGGAAAGCAGAAATGCTGGTGAGCTGCTGCGATATCCAGATACCCTGTGTGAAGGCAGCAGTAACCGCAAGGGGTGCATTTTCAAAGTGTCATCGTGGGACTTTAATTGTGTTTAATATGAATAAGGAGGCACACAATTAAATGATC